GGCAATACTCCCCAAACCTATCTACATGGTCAACATCATTCATCCCTATCAAATTCCAAGTGGCTTTCTTTCTCCCCACCCCCCCCCGAAACTGACAGGCTGATCTCAAAATTTATGTGGAAATGTAAAGGACCTAAATAGTCAACACAGTCTTAAGAATACAGATGAAAGATCCATACTTTCTGATTTCAAAACTTACTACAAAAGACAGTGTGGTATTCACTTAAAAAGAGACATGTGCATCAGTGTAACAGCACTAAGAGTCCAGAAATAAACTTATATGTTCATGATCACCTGATTTTCAACATGGGGGCCAAGACAATCCAATGTGGAAAGAATAGTCTGACAGTAAATGGTTCTGGGATAACTGGAAAACCACATGCAAAAAGAATAAAGTTGGGCCTTTTCTTACACCATAAAAAGATGGTCCTGACCTAACAATAGTTCAGTTTAAGATTTTTCAACATTATGATGGTGCAAATGCAATATATATTCATTAGAAACTGTAATCTCATTGTAAATCGAAGAGCATCTGTACAAAAACCAACTCAAAATGAATCACATACTAAAATGTAAGAGCTAAAACTACAAAACTATTAGGAGAAAACAAAGGTGTAAATCTTTGTCACATTGGAGTAGACAACTTCCTTAGATATAACACCTAAAGCACAAAAACAAACAAACAAAAAAATAGATAACCTGAACTTTACCAAAATTAAAAGCCTTTGTGCTGCAAAGGACACTACAAAGAAAGTGAAATCCCCACAGAATAGGAGAATATATTTGCAAATCATATTTCTGATCAAAGTCGTCTCCTTATATATAAAGAACGCTGACAATGCAATAAAAACACAAGTCTTAAAAATAGGCAGAGGATCTAAGTAGACATTTCTCCAAAGAAGCTATACAAATGCCTAATAAACACCTGAAAACCCCATTAGTCTTTAGGGGAATAAAAACACAGTGAGATACCACCTTATAACTACTAGGATGACTAAAATGAAAAAGACAAACAATAGTAAGTGTTGGCAAGCATAAGGAGAAACTGAAACCCTAACACATTGCTGGTAGGATTGTAAAATGGCACAGCCACATTAAAAACAGTTTGGTAGGTTCTGAAAATGTAATCATAGAATTACCAAATGATCTAGGAATTCAAGTCCTAGGAATACACCCAAGAGAAGAGAAAATCATCTGAATAATTTGAATTACACGTTCTCAGAAAAAAGTGTATATGAATGCTCACAGCAACATTATTTGTAACAGCCAAAAAGAAAGTATAATCAACTCAAGTATCCATCAATAAGTAAAGTTAAAAAAACTTTTACTTTTCTTACTCTTATTTGATCTGATAACAGTTATAACAACAGCAACAGTGTGTTCAATTATGTATGTTTTTATATATACATACTTTTGTATATGTTTACACACACATATGTGCATATTCCTCTGTATTAGGGAAATTAATGACAGCAATGATGCAAGGGATGGAAGAAAAGAATTAAAAGTATTTTGTTATTACAAGGTACTTGTGCTACCCATGAAGCAGTACAGTATTCTTTGAGTGTGGACCTGGATTAGTTGTAAATGTATACTGCAAACTCTAGGGCAACAACTAAAATAAAAAAAGTATAACAGACATGCTAAAAAAGGAAAGAAAATGAAATTATATAAAATGGTCAATTGAAACCACTAGAGGTAGAAAAAGAGAGGACAAAAATAGGAATAAAGAACAAGGGGAAACTAGAAAACTACAACAAACATGGTAGATGTTATTGCAACGTATTAGTATGACATAAACATATTTTAAATGTCAATGGTCTACATACACCAATTAAGAGACAGAGATGGCCAGAATGGATCAAAAAACAAGACCCACACACATTGTCTATAATAAACCCACTTTAATATAAAGATATAAATAGAATAAAAAACAAATGAAGGAATATATATGACACTAACACTAATGAAAAGTCCAGCAGCAATACACAAGTAGCTATATTAATTTCAGAAAGAGCAGGTTTCAAGGTAAGCAAAGTTATTAGGCCTTACATAACGATAAAGAGGTCAATTCTCCAAAAAGCTATAACAATCCTTAATGTGTATGTGCCTAACAAAAGAGCATCACAATATGTGAGGGAAAAACTCATATAACATCAAGGAGAAACAGATAAATCTGTTATTACAGTTAGAAACTTCAACATCCATCTATCAGAAATGGACAGATCCAGCAGGCAGAAAATCAGTAAGAACACAGCTGAATTCAACAATGCCATTAATCAATTGGATATAATGGTCAGCTGTTGATTACTTTATCCAACAACAGCAGAATGTACATTCTTCTCAAGCTCACAGGTAACAATCACCAAGACAGACCACATTATGGGCCATAAAACAAACCTTAACAAATTTAAAAGAATGGAAATCACACAATATCTGTTTTCATACCACAATGAAATTAAACTAGATAACAATAACCAAAAGATAGCTGGGAAATTCCCAAATACACGGAGATTAAACAATACACTTCTACATAATACTTGCGTACTCAAAGAAGTTAAAAAGTATTTTGAACTAAATGGAAAATTAAAATACAACTTAACAAAATGGAATCCATGCTTTGAGAGAAATTTATAGTATTAAATTCAAATATTAGAAAAGAAGAAAGATCTAAAATCAGTATCTAAATTTCCACCTCAGGAAACTAAAAATAGAAGAGCAAAGTAAATCCAAAGCATGCAGAAGAAAATAAGTAATAAAATTTAGAGCAGAAATCTATGAAATTGAAAACCAGAAGTTAACAGAGGAAAATCAATGAAACCAAAGCTGATTCTTTGAAAAGATCAATAAAACCAACACGCCTCTAGCCAAGTTAACTAAGGACAAAAGAGGAGAGGGAGAGAGGGAGAGAGGGAGAGAGGGAGAGAGGGAGAGAGGGAGAGAGGGAGAGGGGGGAGAGGGGGAGAGGGGGAGAGGGGGAGAGGGGGAGAGGGGGAGAGGGGGAGAGAGAGAGAGAGAGAGAGAGAGAGCGCGCGCGAGAGCGAGCGAGCGCACAAATTACTAGTATTAGAAATGAGTGATCACTATAGATCACATGGACAGTGAAAGGATAATCAAGGAAAACTCTGCCCAAAACTTGAGAACCTAGATAAAACAGACCAATTCTTTGAAACACAATTTGCCAAAACTCCTACATAATAAAAGAGGTGATCTGAATAGGCCTATATTTTGTAACTAAAATGCAGTCAACAATTAATAACCTTCCCGAACAGTAAACAGCAGGCCCAGATGGGGCCACTGATCTTTTTCTTTAAAACAAAAATTTTAAATTGGCCCATAATAATTGTACACGGTGGGTACACAGTGATATAGGGTACAAAGTGATATAGCAATACATATAATGCATAGTGATCAGATGACGGTAATCAGCATATCCATCATCTCAAGCATTTATCTTTTTTTTGTGTTGGGAACATTCAATATCCTCCTTCTAGGTATTTCAAAATATACAACATTTCATTGGAAAGTACAATCATCCCATAGTGCTACAGGACATTAGAACTTACTCCACTTATCTACTTGTAATTTTGTATCATTTAACAAATCTCTCCCCTATCTCTCCCTCTCAATATTCTTCTCAGCCTTTAGTATCCTCTGTTCCATTTCTTACTTCCCATGAGATCTACAGTTTTTTTTAAGCTTTCACATATAAGCATATGCAGTGTTTAACTTTCTGTTCCTGGCTTATTCCACTTAATGTAATATCCTCCGATTCTATCCAAGCTGCTGCAAATGACAGGATTTCATTATTTTTTTATGGCTGGATAGTACTGCACAGTGTGTATATACTCTATATTTTCTTTATTCATCTGTTGATAGGCACCTAGGTTGATACATTGGCTACTGTGAACAGTGCTGCAATCAACATGGGGGTGTAGATCTCTCTGATATAATGACTTCTCTTTCCTTTGGATAAATGCCCCATAGTGAAATTACTGGACTCTATGGTGGTTCGATTTGTAGTTTTTTTGAGGAACCTCCATACTGTTTTTCACAGCAGCTGTATTAGTTCACGGTCTCACCAATAGTATACAAGAGTTCCTTTTTTTCCATATCCTCACCAATATCTGCTATTTTTTGTCTTTTTGATAATGGCCTTCCTAACCTGCGTGAGATGATACTTCATTGTGGTTCAAATTTGCATTTGCTAGATAATTAGTAATGTTGAGTATTTTTTTCATGTATTTGTTGACTATTTGTGTGTCTTCCTTTGAGAAATGTCTCTTTGGATCATTTACTCATATATTAATTATTTTTTTTAAATTTTTGCTGTTGAGATGTTTGAATTCCTTGTATATTCTAGATATATATTAACCCCTGTTGGATGAATGCTTTACAGATATTTTCTCCCATTCAGTAGGTTCTTTTTACTCTGTTGTTTCCAATGCTGTGCAGAAACTTTTTAGCTTGATATAATCTCATTTATTTTTGCTTTTGCTGCCTGTGCTTTTGAAGGCTCTTTTTTTACATTCAGAATTTGTATTTTAAAACAAAGAATCAGAGTAACATCAATAATAGAAAATCCATATGAAAATATTCACAATCTGCACAGTGAGAAATGGGAAAACAACTTCCCTGCCTTACTGCCAACCTAGGGTTTGAGGGGCCAGAAGTTGACAAGAAGTTGGAAGGTCACCTTTTCCAGCAAAACCCCACTCCATAGCTACGTGCATTTTTATTCAAAGGCTCTATGACCAGAGGGAACAGTGAGAACTGAGAACCAAAATACTATTATTGGCAAGGGTTTGGCCAAAGGGTCTGAGATGTGTAAGCACCAAGAAGGGAAAGGGAGATTGAGCAACATAAGAAAAAGGGGCTGTAGGAACAAGCACAGAGAAAACAAGTAAACAAGAACCTACTTCGACCCAGCGCAAAATGACAGTGCACAGTGCCCATCAATCCATCCCCTCAAGTGTGGGACTATACTGCACAGTGACTCAACTATCTCAAACATGGTCTATTGGAAAGATTCAAGTCCCCTAAGGGCACTTGGTGTAAGACCACAGTGACATGGTAACAGACATACACAAGCATGCTGTGACCCTAAAGCAACAACACACTTTAGACAATGATCGTTCAGAAAAAAATCCTCTCCGAGAGCTGAGGTTACAAATTCCAAGTCAGCTATAAACATTTGGGAAATTCCTTGAAAGGTATGCATTAAAACAGCAAATCAACAACTAAAATCTCCTAGAACAAAAAGGAATCTCTACCAAGAACCAATTATTTTAGGGTTTTCATTTGGGTGGCTCTCCCACCACATAGGTGGTGGGATTACTTCAAAGGTAATGAGTCTATTACAAGGAGGAGTTGTTTGGTCCGGTGAGGGGGAACAGGCTTTCTAGAAATAACTTTCCCTTCCCTTGACTCCATCCAAAGTTAGAACCTATCAACCACCATTAACTACAATGCCCATATTAGTTAATAATCCCAGATTTCAAGTATTACATGTAAACTATTATCTTAAAGAAAAAAGTTCCAAAGGAAATCGGTAGCTTAATTATATAGGCATATGGCCTTTATGAGAAATTAAACTTAAGAGTTTCCATCTGAAAGACAGAAATTGTTAAGAGGTAACGTGCAGACCTCAGGCACCACATCATTTACCCTTCAATAATGAACTACATTTCTCCCTAAATTCTTCTTATTGCACCTTAACCTCTCCAGCATCAAATCTTTTACTCTTCAACCTCTCTTTAAGCAGCTCCTTCTAATCTCAATTTCCTTCTGTTCTTATTATTTGGCAAAATTACACTTAAAAAAATAAATATTTCCACCATGGCACATGTATACCTATGTAACAAACGTGACATTCTGCATATGTATGCCAGAACTCAAATATATATATGTAATGAAACCATAAGATAAAATAAATAAAACTCAAGTTAATTTGCTGTGTGGAGCTGTATAGAAGTGAGGAAGGTGGTCTTAAACTCCCTCTGCCTTCCACATTCATAGGTGTATCTGCTTCCTGATAAGTCTGAGGTTGGGAGAACTGCACCTTACTTTTCCTCTGCTATATCCCCTAGTACAGAAATATTAGAACCCAAAGCTGGCGAAGTTGTCATATGCCAAGAGGCCAATCCCTCCTGAAATGAAGGTAGGTTCACTTGGTCTCTCCTAAGCAGAAGATAATGTCCAGGGAATAAAATATTTTAAAAGCCATTGAAAACCTAAAAAACCCCAGCCTTGGGGTGCTTAAGGAGTGCATGGGATAAGACAGGAATCAAGTAGCAGCATTCAGAAGCAGTCCTGGGCTCATCCTGATGAGGTTTTTCATCATTCAGAGACCAGTGGCTTTCCCATGATTCGAGGGAGGTGGAAGGAGGCATGAGTGAGACACTGGTGGTGGTCTCCTTAGCAGGCTGGAGGCTGTTTATCTCCATGATGCCGTCGTTCCCGGATCTATCTGCACCATGTGCCTGCCCTTCAAAGGCCTGCATGATATCCTCAAATATCACGGGTCTCAAATATCACGGGTCTTCAGAGTCCTGCGGGTCTCAGGGACTCTGAAGAAGGTAAAAGTCAAAAAGGTAATGAGAAGGCCAGTGAAGATAATAAAAACATGGGGTCCTAAATAGCAAGCAGCAGAGGGAAGAAGCAATCCAACTAGGAAGTTGGAGGTCCACTTGGAGCAGCCGACAACTGCCATCACAGCTGGGCAGTGGCCCTGACTGAAGAGTTCAACCACAATAAACCAGGGAATAAAGACAAAGATAGCCCTAATACAGACAAAGCTCATCCCATTACAGTCATCCTTTAATAACTAAAAAAAACAGTCGTGTGTATGGGACAAAAAGCCATCCCTCCAAGGTCTATCATATGCAGAGTCCTTCTTCCTGCCCTTTCCACCAGAAACAGGAAAACGACAGTGAAGACAGTATTAGCCACACCTTCACCGATGGTGGCATAGATGGGTTCTTGAACACCTGCATCCTTGAAGATTCCTGTTGAGTAACAGAACACAGCATTGATTCCAGAGAGCTGCTGAGAGAGCTGGAGCACAATGGAAATGATGATGGGCTGTCGGCAGCTGGATACTCTAAAGTGCTCCAGCACGGTGACTTGCTTTTCTTGTGGCATTCTTGCATTCTCATCGCTCATCTCCTGGATGTCTTGGGATACATCTTGGGTGCCCGACAACCACTGGAGGATCTACTAAGCATCCTCTTCTTTTCTGTTAATGAGCAAAAATCTGGGACTTTCAGGGCAAAATGGAAGGGCTGCACTTTGTAGGATAGCAGTAAGGATGGTAAAGCCCAACAGCACTGGCCGCAGCTCTTCAGACCCAAGGATGAATTCCAGAAATTCCAGACCAAAGACCTGGGCCACCAGAATTCCAACAATGTTCAGCTGGTTTAGAGTACCAAAGGCACCCTGCAGGGCAGTAGGTGAGATCTCTCCACATGTACATGGGCACAAAACCTGTGCATAGTCTGCAGAAGAGGTCAATAACTAAGCGGCCCAGGATGAGCATTTCAAGCAACTCAGCTACTTTACACGATCCCATGAGGCAGCCACCAGTGACAGCCAACAGGCTGATGATAAGCACTGAATTGCACCTGCCAAAGTGGATGACAAAGAATCCGACGTAAAAGGAGCCAATCATACCACAAACGGAGATGGCCACAGACAAGGACCAGAGAGACATGGGCAACATCTCAGAGGGAGAGGTATTTGCCTTGTCCCTCAAAGTGCTATTGATAAATTCCTTTATGATCATCTCAGGAGCATTGATGACCCCAGTGTTGTAGCCAAATTGGAAAGCCAATTGTAGCAACTGTGTTGGCAAAGATCAGAGCAGGGGTAACCTCTGTGTCCCCATGGCCCTAATCTAATTCTTTTCAAGTCTTCAAGAAAGATTTAGGAATGTGATTCCAGACACATTTTTCAACCAACGAATCCTTCAAAATGTCCTTCTCAGCAACAAGTTTTCTCCAGGTCCTCAGGAATGCTCTAAACTCTTACCATTACAGCATTTCTTTGAAGTCTTATTCAAAAAATCTTTTCCCAGACCTGTGTCCTGATGTTTCCCCCTAGTAGTTCTGTCTTTTTGATTTAGGTCTTAGATTCATTTTGCATTGATTTTTGTAAAGGGTGGGACATGGGGGTCTAGTTTCATTCTTTTGCATGTGGATATCTAGTTTTCCCAACACCATTTACTGAAAAGACTGTCCTTTCCCCAATGTATGCTCTTGGAACTTTGTCAAAAATCAACTGGTTATGGACATGGGGGTTTCTGTGATTTCTACCAAAGATTTAAAAAAGAAATCTTAGTAACTGTCTATAATTTATTTCAGAATATAGAAGCAGAGGGAATACCTCCTAACTCATTCTTTGAGGCCAGCATTAACGTAATACCAAAACCAGACCGTCGTTCCAAGAAAGCTACAGACCAGTAACTCTGATGACACAGATATAAAATTCCCAACAAAATATTAGCAAATCACATCTAACAACATATAAAAATAATTACACACCATAGCTAAGGGAGTTTATCCTAGGTATGCAAGGCAGGTACAACATTTGGAAATCAATTAATGTAATCCACAGATCAATAGGCTAAGAAAAAAATCATATGGTCATACCAACAGATGCAGAAGAAATATTTGACAAAATCCAACACTGATTCCTGATAAAAACTTGCAGGAAATTAGGAATAGAAGGGTACTTGTTCAACTTAATAAAGAATATCTACTAAAAAACCTACAGCTAATATCATATTTAATGGTGAGAAACTAGAAGCTTCTCTAAGATCAGGAACAAGGTGAAGATGTCTCCTCTTAACACTCCTTTTCAGCACTGAACTGAAAGTCTTAGAAAGGTAATAAAATAAAAAAAGGAAATAAAAGGTACACAAATTGGGAAGGAAGAAAACTGTCTCTGTTCTCATCTGAAAAAAAAAAAAAACTAACTTAAAAACTCATGGAAATATTAACTGACTATAGCCAGATTGTAAGATACTATACAAAAGTCAACTGCCTTCCTATATATCAGAAATAAACAAGTAAAATTTGAAATTAAAAATATAACACCACTTACATTAGCACCCCGAAAAGTAAAATGCTTAGGTATAAATCTAAAAAAATATATAAGAACTATATGAAGAAAACAATAAAACTCTGATGAAAGACATTAAAGAGAAATTAAGTGAAGAGCTAGTCTGTGTTCATAGATAAGAAGCCTCAATATTGTCAAGATGGCAATTCTTCCAGCATCATCTACCCATTCAATGCAATCCCAATACAAATCACAACAGTTATTTAGCAGATACTGCCTAACTGATTCTGAAGGGTACATGAAGAGGCAAAAAGATTCAGAATAACCAACACAATATTGAAGGAGAACGAATCAGAGGACTCACATAACCTGACATAAAGGCTTATTGCAAAGCTACAGTAATCAAGACAGCATGGTACTGGTGAAATAACAACAAATAGATGAGTGGAGCACAAAGAAGAGAGAGCCCGAAACAGACCCACAGATTTATAGTCAACTGATCTTTGACAAAGGTACAAAGAGATAAAAAATCTTTTTATCGAATGGCTCTGGAACAATTGAACATCCACATCCTGCCTTCTCACCGCTGAGTCCTCTCTGCTTAGGAAAACAAGGATCCTGTTCTGTCTTCTAACCTAGGGCTGAGAGGCAGGATTCTAGCACTTCTAGTATGCTTCCTGTATAACTGCATTATTTTAGCACAGAGCACTTCTGACTTTAAAAAAGAATTATTGGGAGGCCAAGGCGGGTAGATCACGAGGTCAACAGATCGAGACCATCCTGGTCAACATGGTGAAACCCTGTCTCTACTAAAAATACAAAAAATTAGCTGGGCATGGTGACGCGTGCCTGTAATCCCAGCTACTTAGGAGGCTGAGGCAGGAGAATTGCCTGAACCCCGGAGGCGGAGGTTGCGGTGAGCCGAGATCACACCATTGCACTCAGCCTGGGTAAACAAGAATGAAACTCCTTCTCAGGGGGCGGGGGAAGAATTATTTTTGAGCTGGGTATGGTGGCTCATGGCTGTAGTCCCAGCTCTTAGCTACTTGGAGGCTGAGGTGAGAGGATCACTGGAGCCCAGGAGTTTAAGGACAACATGGGCAACACAGCAAGATCCTGTCTCTTAAAAAAAAAAAAATTCTTGATGACAAAGGAATTATCAGAAATACATAAAAATTTCAAACTAATAACACACATAATAATGAAATCTTAAAACAGAGTAGATGTATGGAATTAGAAGAAATACACAAGTTTACAATTACAATGGGAGATTTGAAAATAAGTTAGTCATTGAGGGTAAAACAAATGCACATTTTGTTTTTCAGAGGGCTTTATCTATTTTTTCTACAAAAAAGTGAGAAGACGGTTTTTCTTTTCTTTTTTTTCCCTGACAGAGATCCATTTTGGTATACTTTGATGAGCCAATCAAGCTACACAAAATACTTTTATGATGGAAGACTGGTAAGGTAATTTGATAGATATATATCACACAGTGTATACAATTCATACTTTGCATATATTTTTATTTTATTCTATTTAGGATTAATGTATATATTAAAATAAAAGTTTACTATATTTCAATTTTCCCCAAAGTTCCCAAATTATATAAATGGGTAATTCCTACCCAAGTGATTTCAGTATTGACAAAAAATTTTGTGTCAGTAGCTAGGTACAAATGTTCATAATGCTAAAATGTTGGTATTAATATTATTTTTTCAGTGTATTCAGAATTGACAGAATTTATAAAACATGAAACTATACAGATAATTCAAAACCAAAAAATTTGTTACAATAAAATATAAATGTTGTACACTAACTGAAGGGCAAGATTCCTTAAGGAGGACATGATAAAAGACAAACTTTAAAAGACTGATAAATTCAATGTAGTGAAAGTCATGAAAGAGCAGAAGTAATTTGCAAACAGCGCACTTACAAAGGATGTGCATCACTAATTTATAAAGAATTCCTCTATATTAATAATAAAAAGTGCAGAATATTTTAAAAAAACCAACATAGAATTAAATAAAGACTTCAAAAAGATTTTCATGGCAAAGTACTCAACGTGATTTTAATTAGGGAAAGATAAATTCATGCCACAATGATATGCTATTGTACACCCAACTGAATGTCTGAAAAAAAGCTGATCTACGTTGTCTAAGGTATGGATCAACAAGAACACACACACTATTGGTGGGAGTACCAATTCTTCCAATGTTTAAACTGTTTGGCAGTGTCAATGGGCTGAATAGTGACTCTCAGAAAGTTATCTTTATGTCCTAACCCTAGAACTTGTGAATGCAATCTTATTTGTCAGAGGGTCTTTGCAACAAGGATCTTGAGATGAAATCAGTTTGGATTATGTTGGTGGGCCTTAAATCCCAACCACACTTGTAGGACAAGTCCTTAGAAGATACAGAAGAGGAGAAGATGAATACAGAGGAGAAGGCCAGGTGAAGACAGAGTCAGAGATAAGAGTTATGCAGCCACAGGAATGCCATCAGTCACCAGAAGCTGGAAGAGAAAAGAAGAGATTCTCCCCTGGAGCCTCAGGAGAAATTTTAGCCCTGCCAACACCTTGATTTCAGTCTTCTAACCTCCATAATGGGAAGAATAAGTTTCTGTTGTAACCCACTGAGTTTGTGGTGCTTTGTTTAAAGAGCCTTACGAAGCTAATACAGGCAATATCTCCCATCGTTGAACATATGTACTCCCTGTGAACCATCACAGGGAGCTGCTGATAATATCTATTTCTTGTGATGGATGGTGACTACATGGATGTGTTCACTTTGTGACAATCCATCAAGCTGAATACTTATAATCTATATACTTTTCTATACATGTATATGCCAATAAAAACATTATTAAAAACAATAAAAAATAACCATCAGTATGACAGTTACTGTGAGTTAATTGATCATGCAGACAAGAAATTAAAATTTAAATAATTCAATTACTTTGTTATAATAGACATAATATAGAATTTTGCACCTCAAAATGTGAACTCACAATCTGAAGTACCTGTGAAGTACTTATTTGATGGGCTGATCTTAAAATTCAAATAAAAGAGTAAAGGACCAACAATAACCATGAAAGCTCCAAAGAACAATGTAGACAGACAGATTTTATCTACTAGATATTAAGAGTATTATAACTATTGATTTGATAACTTTTATACTGGTATAGGAGTAAGTAGATCAACCAAGTAGACCAGAGAAAGACCTGTGCATATAATAAAATTTGATACATGTATCATTATTATCAATGGAAAGGAACAAAATTAGAAGACTTAACAAATTAAAAAATATATCGGCTTAAAAGCCTCAAAGAACTAAAAGGTACTGAAGAATTACCAGGCCAAGGTTTGGGAAAGAAAAATAGGTCTAGAGAAGTGAGCACAGTATTTGGAGTCAATTTTCCCATGAAGGTATTTGCTGTTTCTGGAAGCAGCAGCTGAGAGGCTAAAGGGATGGGACTCTAGTGAAGCATCTTTGCATTGCACTATAGTTATTCACCAGGAAGACATGCCTGAGTAAACAGGCATAGGCAGGGATGACAGCTCAGCTACCTAGTCACCAGAAGGCTAAAATGGAAGAGACTGGTAGGATGTGAAGTGAGAGAAACTTTCAGACATTGCTAAGAAGGTAAATTGTTCATTCATTTTGGAAAATACTTTGGTTTTATCCATTAAATCTAAAGATATGCTTACTCTATGAGCTTGTAATACTACCACTAGGTAGACAGATATCCACCAGAAACGTACACCCACATACACCAAGAGACACATAGGTGAGTATTCACATCAGCATTAGTTGTAATAGCCCCAAACTGGAAACACACCCAGAAAGTCCATAAATAGTAAAATGGGTAAACTGTGGTATTTTCATGCAACAGAATACTACATGACAATATAAATGAGTGAATTATATAGAATGCATATACCTTACAGACATAATATTGAGCAAAAGAATCCAGACACAAAATAAAACACACTCTTTGCTATCCATTACATAAAAGTTTAAAATAACATACTGTCTTCACAAGGTTCAAAAAATATACTACTTGATTCTCTTTGTATAAAAGTTAAACACAAATTAAAACTAAACTATGGTATTTAGGGAAGCAAAATATGTTAAAATTGAAAAGAATAGGAAGGAGGGAAAAACTAAAAAGAAAAGGAAAATAATTACCTGGGTGAATAGTAGCTACCTGGCAGGAGAGGGCATGAGCAGGCATCAATGGTCTTGGCAAAGTTCTATTTCTTAACAGGGTTGTTAAACAGATGTCTGCTTTTGTGATAAACCACTGCTGTATATTTTTTGTGTACTCTTCTTTATGTGTGCATATTTCACAATTATAAAGGTGAAAAAAGTGAAGAAAAGATGGATGCACTTACCATTCAATAAATGGTACTGACGCAACTGATAAGAGAATAGCACGAAAATATTAAATCCTTACTTCCTACCATGCATAAAATCAATGATACATATTTAGGAAGCCTATGAAAAGCAAAACCTTATAACTTCTACTAGAAAGTAAGCGATTCTATCTTCATATTCTTAGGGAAGAAAAAGAATTCTTGAAGAAAATACAAAAATATAACCAATAAAAGAAATGAGTGAGTTGATGACATTAAATTAAAACCCTTCTATTGGCTGGGCACAGTGGCTCACACTTGTTATCCTAGCACTATGGGAGGCTGAGGTGGGTGGATGACCTGAGGTCAGGTATTCAAGACCAGCCTGGCCAACACGGTGACACCCCATCTCTATTAAAAATACAAAAGTTAGCCAGGCAGGTTGGCACACGCCTGTAATCCCAGCTACTTGGGAGGCTGAGGCAGAAGAATCACTTGAATTCAGGAGGCGGAGTTCGCAGAGCCAAGATAATATCACTGTACTTCAGCCTGGGGGACAAGACCAAAACTCCATCTAAAACAAACAAACCCCAAAATCCTTCTGTAAAATAAACAAAGTGAAAAAGTGACAGATAACAATTTCCATATGTGTGACAGTATTTCCAGAATAATTTTAAATTGTGCATATATCAAAAACAAAAAGACAACTCCATTAGGGGTTAGGGTAAGGGGGAGACGACCAAGCAAGACTAGGAAGAGGCAATCAATGTGCGTTACAAACAACCCAACTGGCTAAGGAGTATTTAAAACACAGCAGGGCATATTAACGTTAACAGAGTGGATATGGTAGTTTAAATAAATGAAATAGAGTAACGAGTAGCAACATGAAAAAAAATCTCAACAACAATGCTAAGTGAAAAAAAATTGCAAAATGAAGCCATTTTAATAAAATGTATAATAATGCATAATATTTAGAATCCAATATTGCTCAGTGACACATACACACATAGTAAGAGTGAAAAACTATGCCTAGGAATGATAAATGCCAACTTGAGGCCAGTGGCTTCTGGGGAGGGAGAGAAATGAATCAGGGAGGGCTACACATGGTCTTTAATTGTATCTGTATCATTTTACTTGTGTGAAAATGAAGACTGGAAACAGGTAGGTTAAAATTTTAAGTTCTCTCTAATTATATAGTCTCTTTTCTCACTGAAACAGTTTATAGAAATAGAAGTAAACAAAACCCACTTTCTGAGCTATTCTAAGTTTTATTCTTGTATCAAGCTGTGTATTTAGACCACACAGTATTAGCTCATCAGATGCTTTCATGTTATGGCACCGTCACTGAGAGAAGCTAAAGAACCAGCCTTTACGAATCCTGACATTTAGTTCCCTTGAGGGATATTATTGTGAATCTGATTTACTTCCCTCCATGGCATCTTCTTTTTAAGCTGCAGGAGAGGTCATTTGGGGATCAATACCTGAAGAAACTAATTTGAGTATCTATTTGTTTTTTAAGGACACAGTGAATCTTGTAATGGGCCATGATTATCTCCTTCCATTGGCTGCTGAGAGATGCTTGATTAAATCTGTGGCCTACCACTAGGAAAGGTACACAATTGTGTGATTCATATTTTAATTCTTAATCTCACCATCCAATCCTAGTACTGTCCTTTCATCCAGATTTTTCATGTGATTTCTTTTATCCTACTGTGTATGGAATATATGGTTATACATAAACATACAGCCATAAAAATAAATTTTTGACACATTATATTAAAACTTATAACTTTAGTTCATCAAATGATACCATGAGGAGAATAAATGGCAAGCTACGAAGTGGAAGAAGATATTTGTAATACATATACAAAAGGCTCACATCCAAAGAAAATAAGGAACTCCTATAAATTAGCAAGAAAAATATTAACCCAAAGGAAAAATGGACAAAGTTGGTAAACAGTAGAGCTAAAATTCTCAATTTGAAGTATTTTATTTTAGCTTTTTTTAGAAGTATCATTTGAATTACTATTTCTAATGCTATTACCTAGTGACAATGACAATCACTGTTTACACCTTAGCCTTGGTAGAAAATCTTCCAAATTCTTTTCTTTTTTGCAGAGGGGTGAATAATTGTCCATATAATAATTTTATATTTGTAATTAGCTGTCATTACAAATCTTGCATTATATTAAATATATTCCACAATCGGCCTTTTCACATAACATAATTCATCTTTTAAAAAAAGCTACTGCATAGATTATACTGTGTAAATTCTTTAAAATCTTTTCAATTTACATGCATACAAAAAGTGTTCATATGTATTTGCTTCCCTATACCTTGACCAGCACTAAGTCCAGGTCTCTGGGGCAAATTCATAATCGGGTAATCAGAAAACTTCCTTCTAGTGTCAGAGAAGCAAGGAGAACAAAAAGATGAAGAAGGAGTACAATAATGAGGAAAGAGAAAAGCCAAAGAATGAAAGGTGAGAGAGGGAGTTTAAAAAAGGAACAAGTGGCTGAAAATGAACAAAGTAATGAGGAAACAGGAAAGAGGTTAAATATAAAAATGCTGGGTGTCTTTCAGGAATATCTTTATTAATCAGGTCATGAATCTGAGCCAAGTGTACCAAAGGCATAATTTGTTTAAGATTCGATAAAGGCAGGCTTGATTCAAGTAAATTAACGATCAGAGACCAGGTATCTTCACCTAAGCTTTTACTTCTAACTACTTATATATGTTCTTTAGGTCTTTCCTTTGGAGTTCGAGCTTTTTCTCCACATTTTTAAGTCAGGTTTCCCCCTAAAGCTGAATGTTATCTGAAGAAAATTCCCAAAAGCTCACTCAACAATTTTTAGAGCAGAACAAAGTGCATGTTTCACACTTTTAAAGAAAATGGTCAAACTTTGATTGCAGCTGAACAACTTCAAAATGGCTTCATTTTAAAACCTACTAGAAGAGATGCATCCAAAGGAAATACATATTTTAGACTAATTGTTTTAAGATAGTTCAAAATCAAATGAGTAATACAGGAACTCTAAATTACTGGTAAAGGATCCCTGGCTGGTCTACTACTACCTAGCAGTATAAGAAGAGCTTAGAGGTAGAGGAGAGTTATTTCAACTCCTTCATGAAAGGGCAGGATTTTCATTATACTTTCACCCTCTTTGTTGCCTTCAGCTCCTCCTGCTTTTTCTCTGAGTTTGTCTCTAACACCTAGAAGATACCATGAGGGAGGGGAAAGAAAGCTGTTCTGGAAGAGCAGGGGACCTGGCCTTGAGTGACCTTGGCCACAGGCCTTCATCTCTCCATTCCTGTAACCTCATCGTTATGATGCACACCAGCAAACTTGATCTATCCCTCCGTGGGGAGGTCAGCTGGCAGATTCAGATGAGTAATAGCTTCAGCAAGTTTTGGGTTTAAAGTGCTAAGGTATTATAAATGTCTACACTCTTCTTTTACTTTATCAATTGAGCAACTGCCAAAATCAGGTTTGAAGGATGAATAAATGTTTAGAACCAAGGTCAGGGAATCCACCTCGATCAAAAAGAGAGCCTAGAGTAGGGAGAGCTATCTTGACATTTTAATAAAATAATATAATTCCTCATAACCATTTCAAGATGATTGATAAATTGAAAGCTCAACATTCAGAAAGGACATGGAGGAGAAAAAGTTCTCAGTCTTTGAGATTCTGTAACAGGCTTAGCCTGTAAGACAGTCATTGGGACAAAGGCTGAGAAAACATCTTTGTAGTAGTGGTCAGATATTCATGAAACAGAAAATCAGAAAAATAAAGACTAAAAGGCAGTGTTTGGATACATACTGATACACTAAAATATGATATGTGCATGTCTTATTGTGTGCTCTGGGCTTTCAGGAGCGCTGAAATAATGTACCCATGAAAGGATTACAGCAGAATAGTGGACACTCCATGCTAGTGTGTCATCACAGGGAAAATAAAACAGCAAAGGGAATACACAAATCAACACTACTCTACCACCCTGGGTATTCTAGCCACTATTTGATAACATATTTCCTTCTTTGAAGGAAAAAAGAAATTCATTCCCCAAACAACAGAAAGGCTGAGAATCCAGGCAGACAAAAGCAGACCTACATAAAACTGTGAAGATTAATATATAAGGCTTTAGAAATATTAAAAAGCAAAAGCAATAATCTAAAATGCTTCCCTTAGCTGCTTTTGTCTGTGGTCTGTAAAGCATTTTCCACAGTTTTCTGTGATAGAAAGAAAAGCTGTCAGAATCCATTCCTAGGTTTTTCTCACAAATATATATACCAAGGGAGGGAGGCACAACAAAGTCTGTTTTGGATTAAAGTTATGAACATCAGATTTCTAAAGCAAGAACAAAATGTTTCTGGAGCTTACTTCAGTTCCGTCTACCCAAATCCAAAAAAGCTGGGAAAATTAGAATTCTGTAGTACTAAATTTTTTTTTTTTTTTCTTTTTTTGAGACAGAGTTTTGCTCTTGTTACCCAAGCTGGAGTGCAATGGCGCAATCTCGGCTCACCGCAACCTCCGCCTCCTGGGGTTCAGGCAATTCTCCTGCCTCAGCCTCCTGAGTAGCTGGGATTACAGGCACGCGCCACCATGCCCAGCTAATTTTTTGTATTTTTAGTAGAGACAGGGTTTCACCATGATGACCAGGATGGTCTTGATCCTCTGACCTCGTGATCCACCCTCCTCGGCCTCCCAAAGTGCTGGGATTACAGGCGTGAGCCACCACACCCGGCCCTGAATTTTCTTAATGATTAAGGAAGCTGAGAGGCAATGACATTATCACAGATTAGTACAACTGGAAAAAAAAGGATAATGTGACTACATCCCAACATTGAAAAATACTTTTGCCAATACTTTCTAATTATTAACGGTGATAGCTGTGGTTAATATGGATGAAGGAATTAATGAACAGCACTTTTCTCACAATCCCATACTATTATCAGGCTTGACTAGAGGTCTCAGAAAGTAACAACATATAAGTTGACTCTCATCTTAAAGAATTACAACCTAGACTTTCAGAAGAGTCACAAGTAATTAGAAAGTCCCAACAAAAAAAGATAGCTTCATTATTTTAATTTGCAATTATTTAAAAGTAGCATAAGGCATCACCATAGGAATCAAAGGAACTGGGACAATATTTTTAGACGTTCTTAGTACCTGTACATTGAATGTCAAGTTACTGTGGGAATTTTAATTATGACACATGATAATCAAAACAGTACCATTTTATTCTAACATAATATGTTTTTATATAAAAATCTAATCACTATTAGCTGTATCTGGTAAAAGTGGAATAAATGATCTGTAATGTTCAGATAACTGAAAAACCGGGTTCAATTATGTTGAACTGAATTAGATGATGAGTTGCCAAAGGAATCTACTTTCTTTTCTATTTTGATAATTTTAAAGTGGTAAACTGGTAAGTATTCAATCACGACATATATTTCTTTATATATATGATGCATTTATCTTGTGTGAAATGTGTATTAATAAACAGTTATCTTCCTCTGGCTATTATGTAAACATCAGAAATAAAGTCACATATGCTTCTTTTAACTCTTGTGTAACTGATATATGCAAATTTTATTTTACTGGATGGCAAATTAAAGAAGAAAAATGACAACCTACATAACAAAGGCTTACCTTTGCCTATATGGCTTATTCTGACCAAAAGCACATCTCATTTATAAGGTCTTTTAGGGCATAGTTGATTTTCTTACCCATTTTTGTGACTTTTTAGATACTCTGGTACCCAGCATATAGTAGGGAAGCCCTCAAAATATTATGTGTCTTGATACGACATTCAAAAAAAATCATAAGTGTTACAATAGATCTGTTCCCAAAATTTATAGGGATTATCTAACAACAAATAAGCACAGAGATGAAGACATACAGATAGAGATATCATAGCTAAAATTCTGATATTAACTGCCTTATATGTTGGTAACTTACTGTCATATATTTTGGCATGCTTTTAGGCACGTTGCTTTATAGTTACTGGGGGAAACTGACTGATAAACAAGCCTCATTTTTAATCAGAAGTTCTTCAGTTGACTCCAAAGCCAATCTACTTGCAACTCAGGAATGATTCTGAAACACATGAACAGGTAACTCTTGGTTTTATATGAGATATTGGTTCATGGAAACTTTATCAATCCTATACACAAAAGAAATACTATAGAGGCTTGGATATGTATTTTAATGGAGATAGTAATACTGGCAGAAAAATACTTAAAAGAACAAGTCAGGAATTCTTGTGTACCTAAAAAATGTACTGTATTAAAAGCATAATATGCTAGATCCTATTTTAGTCAGCAAATGGGTATATCTCACTTCTTTCTCTTTTTTTCTAACCTATTATTAGGATATTTAATATTTATTATTAACCTATCACACTGCAATCTCTGCCTGTAACAGGGTATCGATGGCATCTTCTCTGTTCCCCCAACATACACAAACACATGCACACAACTCCAGCTCAGCAGCACAGATTTCTACACCCCTTAATTATCTTCTTTAATCAATTCAGACTTGTCAGGTCTTTACCATCCTCAAAATCCACATTTACACCGGTTAAGTTTCCCTGTGTAACAGGAAGGAGATAATAATACTCAATCCATTCTCCAGACAGCCATATTAAGGACACTTCTTCAATTGCTCACTGCTTAGTAGAGACAAAATTATGCAACAGACTAGAGAATTCTATAAGAGCAGAAAAGCCACATCACCAAGACATTTCATGGCTCACAATAAACTGATTTAGAGCCCAGCTGCAAAGTCATTCACATTTGCCAAGAGAGGTTTTGAGTACTCTTTGGGACCCACCCATCACACAAACAATGATTTAAACAAAATGAAAACAAAACAAAACAGAGTGACTCACTCCATCACTCCCAGTTCTGCCCTGTAGGAAGACTATAAAGTGATCTGATGATTAGCCTAGGACTTCCATGTTATTTTCATTTTTAGAACCTCTGCATAGTGTCAAAAGTATCAAATAGGCTCTAATTAGATTTGAACACACAGACCAGCTCATACATCTGAGAGAAGAGCTTACCACTCTGAGTGTACCATGTGATAACAGGATTATTTTTGGTTATTTTAAAAGACCTAAAATCAAATTTCAAGAAAGCAAAGAAGTCAGTTCACCCCATTTCCCACACCCTACTTGCTATCATTTACTTGGGTCAGATAATCAAATGATAATCCATTGCCTATCTAAAGAACACTTACCTCATTGTCTGACTCCACGAGAACTTGATCATATTCACTAAGCGCTACTAGAAACATGATAGAGGTGACATTTTCAAAGCAGTGTATCCATTTTCTTCTCTCTGACCTTTGGCCCCCTACATCGACCATTCTGCAAGGTTAACAATACTCATATTAATAACATATAAAGTAAAACTAAAAAGTCAACATAAACATAGCACTGCTTACAAACTTGGAGAAAATATTCTCTTGAATGACAAAGATCATCCAAGTCAATTCAATTAATACTTATTAAATAACTACTAATTTCCTATTACCTAATAGGAAAATTTCCTAATAGGAAATATTCAAAATCAAGACATTCTGGGTAATACATCATGGTGGTTATAAGAAAGTTACCAGTGTATACGAAAACTGTAACATTGTAAAAAAAAAAAAAAAAAAAAAATCCTTATCTCTGCCAAGCAAAATGGTATTTAATGAAGCACCGAAGCACCAAGGAGTCTAAAACAGAATGGGTTTTGTGTGACGCCCTATTGGCAAGTACTGAACTTCAGTCTCTTTTCCTATAAATCAGAAAAAAAGATCTTCATGCATTTCTTAAGGATGCTAGATATGACTACAAGTACACTGAAAATATGTGGGGTCACATACATTTCAATATGGGTGGTATGATGCTTCCACTAAATGCAAATATAACCCCACTCATCCTTCATTAGCAGGTTAAACATTTTGGGCAATTTTTTCCTCCCAATATTAGTAAGAATTTGGGACAGGTCTGGCCATGTCAGGTAACACAGTGTGCTAACCCTTGTGTACAAACCAATTCACTCATTTGCTGGAAATGAAGTGTAAGTGAATGAAGATACTACATAGTATAAGACAGAGGCCATGATGTGAACCATTTCAATTATTTGTTTTTTTTACACACCAATTCTGTGCTGAATTGCTGCTCAGAAACCAACACTGACATCAATTAATTTGAGTGACAATGTATGTCTGAAAATATCTAGTAATGCTTGGCATTGAGTCAAAGTTTCTCCAAATTGTTGAATCTGTATCTTGAATAAAATGTACACAATGTTCACAGAAAGAAGAAAAAGTCTCAGAGAATGAGAGGTTTAAGTACAAAAATTTGAAAGTAGGGCTCTAAATATTTGTTAAAATTGCAGTTGCTCCTGGTGTTTCCTGCTTCTTGGCATTAAAGCTAAGCTAAGAATTCAAGGATCTTCGAAGTGACTGCTCGTAAGCCTTGTAAGGCACAGGAGAGAGCTAAGGGGCAAAACAATGGATACAGGGAGATCCATGTAATACAGACATCAAAGCCAGAATTCTTAGATCTTCAGAAGTATTAAAATGCTGGCTCTTCCCTAATGCCAAGGCGTGAATAATATGTTACTAATTTACATGAAATCCTCATTCCATGAAACCCTGTCACACTGGGCCCTAAAAGATGCTTTTGATGATGGTGAAAAATTTTACTTCTAAGTCATTACTTTTACTGTAGTGTACAGAAAATGTACTTCAAAAGCCAGTGTACAAAACGTAAAAAAAACAACTTGTAATTATAATCTGGTTTCAGAATCCACTAATTGCGAAGCAATAAGGAGATGAAAATCCCCATGAAATGTTATGTTTTCTGAAAACATTTTGTAGCTTGGAGAAAGGAAATCTCGGTGTCTCAAATTAAAGATTTCTAAATACTATAAACTTAAAACATAAGTAATATAGAATGCTGGAGCTACAAGGAACTCTGGAGATCATCTAATGCAGTACAACCATTTTGCAGATTAAAACACTGAGGCTCAGAAATAGTTTCAAAATGCCACCTACTTTGCGTCCATGTGTATTAGACCAATGTATGGCAGCCAGATCTGACCACATGTACAGAGACCAATTAGAATAAAACACAGTGCCCTGGCAAGAAATGAAGGTGGGCCTGCTAATCAGAGTCACTTGGCAGAGTGACACAGGAGACACTGACTTCTACTTCATAACCAATATTGCACACATCCATCTTCAATGGGATGGGTGTGCTTAGAAAATCAACTCTCCACACTCCAAGACATATTCTCATTTCTCAAATCACTATGTAGTTTGTATTCTAACTAAAAGTACAACTGAGTGATTGCATAATAAGAGATTAAATGGAAGTACATCAGTATTGTTTATTTTTTTCTCATCCTAAAAACAAAACAACAGAATGCTTCTGTTGAAGTATTATCCAGACAGAACAGCAGCAGTGAGAGATGAGGTAATAAATTCTCATTCTATTTTGCTAGGTAATCAAAGCCGTGTATTTTGAAATTTTTCAAGCAACATATTTTATGAACATAAAATATCACGTATTTTTCTTGCTACTGAAAAATTTTGCATTGGTACCAGAGGACCTGGGAAAAACACCAGCATGAAAACTTCTGACAATACATAATTTCTGTGATGACAAAATCATAAGATCATTCACATCTTACATAATTCTAAAAACATATCCATTGTCCTTACAGTTAAAATGACTGCCCAAAAAACTACAGTTCAGACCAACAGTTTATTTACGGATTTTACTCAACCACGAACAAAACTAAGATTTTATTTATTTCTTAGTGATTTAAATTGAAATGCAAAATGCTCCAGTACAGTACATCTTTCTCTCTTTTTTCTCTTTTTGAGATGGAGTCTCGCTTTGCCATCCAGGCTAGAGTGCAGTGGCACAATCCTGGCTCACTGCAAACTCCGTCTCCTAGGTTCAAGTGATTCTCTCACCTCAGCCTCCCAAGCAGCTAGGATTACAGGCGCCTGCCAGCACGCCCGGCTAATTTTTGTAGTTTTGGTAGAGAAGGGGTTTCCCATGTTGGCCTGGCTGGTCTTGAACTCCTGATGCCAGGTAATTCACCCATCTTGGCTTCCCAAAGTGCTGGGATTACAGGCGTGAGCCACCACACCCGGCCTCCAGTACATCTTTCTGTTTCCTCCTTCAGGAATATTTATTTTATTTGTGTAAAATGATAGTAATTGGTATAAAGGCTATCTTGTTTTAAAGTCTACACATGATGTTTTAAAGCCTACACATGATTTCAGTATCTATAGAGTTTACCAAATGTACTCAAGGCATAAAATCTGGGAAATAGGTTTTATGGACTGAGTTACTACCTGAAAATGACACTTTGTAAGTCAAAGGGGTATTCGATGATCCCTGTGGTGGGGACTCGAACTCTAAGCACATCTTGTTGCGTAGGCAGGTAGGCAGGGTCAGCTACACGGTCCAAGTCATTAAGATAGCTAGAGGAGGGAAGACACAATGAGAATGTCAGTGACACCATCACACCAAAACTGTCTACGGAAAGGGAAAGACAAAAATGAGTCCTAACAGAGAAGTAAAAAAGAAAGAAAAATATCAGAAAGTGGTAGAGAAGTCTCTGGAAAAGAAAGATAAAGTCAACCTTCCATTACTGGAAGGTTATCCATCTATGGATTACCTATACACCACAGTTGTCATTTCTTCTCTTATTATCAATTAGAACTCATACTCCTCAGAGGCAGGGAGTGGGAGAAAAAAAGAAAAAGCAATTCAAATAAGTTTCCTATCCTCTACTTGTTTAGCAGGTCTGGATGTCAAAGCAGGAGTTTAAAACAAATAGTTTTTAAGATAATAGAGTTACACATAAGGTCAGAAGAGGTCCCACTCCCCCGCCCACAAGAACATCAAGAGTCTTTTCCTGGAATGAATTTCATTATTCCACTAAGAGAAGACAGCAGGATACAGTGTCCTAAATTCTATCCAGGGCCTAGCCTAAGTCATTCATGATTAATGTGAAGCCATGACATTTCTAGTTATTGCAGTAATAATGTGTCTAAGGTCAGATATTCCCAATGTCTGGAGTTGCCACACCTTAACTTTAAATTTATCTGGTTATATGACACTTGATACTTTTCCCTTCCCTTAAAATTTTTTTTCTCTTGAAATAACTTTAGACTCATAAGGAGTTGCAAAAGTATTACAGAGCATTCCCCTGTACCCTTCACCCAGCTTCCCCTAACAATAATATCTTACATAACCATAGTGCATTATCAAAACTAGGAAAATGACACTGATACAATAGTATTAGCAAAACTACAGACCTTATTAAATTTTATCCATTGTTGCATACTCATATGCATATACTGTATGTATGTATATAGTCATCCCTCAGTATTTGTGGGCAACTGGCACATACCAACATCCCTGGATGCTCAAGTCCTTCATATAAAATGGCACAGTATTTGCAGATAATGTATACATAGTTCTCTCGTATACTTAAATCATCTCTAGGTTACTTACAATGTAAATGCTATGTGAATAGTTGTTTTACTGTAGTATGTAGGGAATAATGACAAGAAAAATCTATACATGTTCAGTAGACACAATATTTTTCTGAATATTTTTGATCCACAGGTGGTTGAGTTCACAAATGCAGAATCCATATATACAGAGCACTGACTGTATTATGGGGGGTATCTAGTTGTATGAAATTTTTTATGTAGAGATTTGTATAATACCACCACAATCAGGACACGGAATTATTCTATCACTACAAAGAAACTGCCTGTGTTATCCCTGGCAGCCAGACATATGTTCTTCATCAATGTAATTTTGCCATCTCAAGAATCTTTTATTCCATTCATGTTTCATTTTCTCAAAGTATAAAAAACAATCCGAAATTCTGAGAATGACATAATTTAATATAATTCAGTGGTATTTTCATGATTTCAAAGAATAACTGTGTTCTCCTTTGTCTTGGAAAGGATGGAGCATACATAGTTTCAAAACACACAACTACTAAGTATATGCACAAAGTAACTAACTTATGAACCAGATTAAAGAAAAGGTGGAACCCTTAATAGAACTGGATCTTCAATTCCTTCATGCCCACAAACAAGAGAAGGTGAGTTCTGAGATATATAATAAGGAATGCTTTGTGCATAACATGTTACAACTGAGCAATAACAAATACTCAGTGGACATGACCTACTGAGGGTAAGGACTCTGTCTTACCAGTCTATTTCTGCCTTAGTACCTGAAAGAATGCCAGGCAAATAGTACTTAATGAATATGTGCTGGATGGATTGATGGATTTCCTATGCTGAGATTTAGTTTTAGAATTATTTAAACAGCATTCTTACAGTGGTATTTCTAAATGAATTATACCCTTACATTTATTTGAAACTGAATGAAAAAAAAAACGTTAAATCTACAAGATTCATGAAATCACAAAGTAGGAGGACTAAATCTGACTTTAACAAAGAAATAAAATTATTGCCTCTTTGGTGGTATGTATCAATTCTTTAAGACAAAAAAGTATCAGCCCAGAAATTCCTCCTGCAAATCAATTAATTAGTATTCCTGGGGCCTGATCCCTGATACATTGATGATTCTCTAGCTGGCAATCAGCTCTCTACTGAGTAACAAGAACTAGCCTGACATTCCAATTACTGTAAAACTGGCTGGAGGACAAATCTAGGGAGCCTGGGAGAATACTGGTGTGAAAGATAGGAAGAAAACCTAAAAATAAACTAGACCCAGAATTTTAGTAAATACCTTGCCATGATCATGGAGTCCTCTGATAAAGAGTTAACAAGTCCATGTTCTGGGAGGTGATCTGTATTTCACTCTACTGATAAACCAGCTCATCACATCATATATAAAAAATCAGATAGCTACTCTGGATGGAGTTTTCTAAATTATCAGCTCCTTTGTTTGAAAAACCTGAATGTACATTTTGAAATCTGTAAGTTGACCATTTATTTAACTACTGTACACAATAACTTATTTCAGAGGAATCAAATAACTTTCAATTTCCACTGGCAACGTTGTTCAGAAACATACTGCCTGATAAACCATCTCTGCTCACTTAATGCCATACACAGAGGTCAGAACAGAGGGCTGCCAATTCTTGTAGTACAGGTTGCTGTGGTGTTCCTATGGTAAAGGGAAATTGTGGTTTTCTGTTTTCTGAAGATGAACCTAACAGATTACTCATTGCCACTCCATACTAAAGCACAGATGAGTGGTTTGCACAGGAGAATTTAAAGAACCAGTACATGAAGTGGGAAATTACCTGTCACACTGCTTGGATAAGATGGAATCAGGGACATGTCTGGAAAACCACTTACAAGAGTTTACAGGCTACCCTAAAAAAACTGTCAGTAGTATCACTCCTAAGTTCAGGGTACTGAGCTCAACATTCATACTTGCAAGAATACTTTTTCCTCTTCATCTTTTCAATGGTAGTATAGATCATAGAGAATGACAACAGCATAACAGCAACTAATTCACATTGAGCACCTGTTGCCTGCCAGGCTCTGTTCTGTGTGTCCACTGCTCAGGTATCATCACAGTTCGCAGCAAAGAAATGGTCATTAAAGATACTCCATAAATTTCTGGTTAACTTGAAAGCAAGCTACAGTTCTTGCTTGCCATTCTTTTTGCTTTGCCTCAGTTGAATGGTAAAGAGAAATGCTCACTTCGCTTGGGGTAAAAGAATTAAATTCACCTAGCTTAACAAAAGAAAAGCTGAGAGGAACTGTATCTAGCTCTGCTAGTTGCAACATACATCACCTAGAGCCAAAAACCAAACCAAAACCCAAAACAAGGCTAAATAATATAATAAATAAATAAATAAAGCCCCCAAATAAACAAAAGACATAAGAACTATTTTCTCCTTGAGTAAAACCTGGGCAACTGAGAAGCTACCCATGACTGAAGATACGTTACAGACAATTTGTGAAGCAGGTAAAATTTATAGACCAAGAACCGCATTTCTGGCTGGGATCAGTGGCTCACACCTGTAAGCCTAGCACTCTGGGAGGGCCAGATCACTTGAGGCCAGGAGTTTGAGACCAGCTGGCCAACATGGCAAAACCCCATCTCTACTAAAAATACAAAAATTAGCTGGGTGTGGTGGTGCATGCCTGTAATCCCAGCTACTTGGGAAGCTGAGGCAGAAGAATCGCTTGAACCCGGAGGCAGAGGTTGCAATGAACCACGAGTGCGCCACTGCATTCCAGACTGGGCAACAGAGTCTCTGTCTCAAAAATCAAAACAAAACAAAAACCTGCATTTTTCATTGCCAACAAGGGGCCAAAGAGGTGCTGCCCACATAATCCCCAATCCCATGCACTCCCCTCACTCTGGGCTCACAGGACTCAAAGAGGAAGGACTGACAGCACTATCTGTATTTCACATTTGCTAGGGAAAAAAGCTACTCTGTTCCCCTAAAAATGGAGTTCTAGCACGGTAAGACTAGAACATCTTCATTTGTTGGTCCTCCTCACATACTGAGAAAAAAGAAATGATCTCTTAACTAAATTGTACTTTCCATTGAGGCATTTTCCATTCTGGAAAAAAAAAAATTGGTGGAATATGGAGGATAGCTTCATGCTGGATTATTCCATTCATTCAACGTTTAAAAAAAAACACACTGAGATCTGAACAAATTTATATTGTACAGTAAATTCAGAAAGTTAATTATAGCCATAATTTGTTTTGTAGGAATGATTCTGAGTGGCTGTTGAGGTCATTCTCAAGGGTGTTGCCACAGTGACAGGCACAGGTACATTTCCAAGGCAATGTATGTGTAACAACTGTCTGGCAGTGACTCTCTCTAATGTCAGGGAAAGGAAGCTCCCATGGTTTACATAAGGCTTTTTAAGTATCTAGGAGACAAGCCATTCATGTTAGAAAATGGGAGATTTAGCTGCTTAAACCTGCCTTACTCCAATCCCTCCATGGGGATTTAATGACTTTTCACTGTGCTGAGACATTATAAATTATTAATATATAATTTGATTTTAAAAAAGAAACCCTGAGCTCAATATTATTCCTCATGCTTGCCCCGTTAGCTATGGCCCACTCTCGGTGGTCAGGGCCAACAACTGCCTTCAACCACGGCTATATCAACAATAGTGAGCCATGGGCCTGGAGCAAGCAGGTGCTCAGCATGGACCAAAATTAAAATTATTTTATGGAAGGTGCTGTAGTGGTTAGAAAGGCAAAAATACAGGAGAGGGGTGGTTGTTAGCTATCCATCCTTACGCAATTACTTCTCTCAGCTGCTACTGGCCTGCATCATATAATAACCAAGTTCTGAATTAAAATGTCTCTGACAAATTAAAGACAACACAGAAAGAAAAGGCATTATTTGTTTAACTTCATTTAGTAGGTTTGCTTCCCGCTATTCTTTAGGTCCCGGCTAGAGAAGGATAAAATTTTTATGTCCATTATTATACCTGTTTCAAGCTTT